AATACAGGGTGTTGTGACAGTAAGTAATACAGGGTGTTGTGACAGTAAGTAATACAGGGTGTTGTGACAGTAAGTAATACAGGGTGTTGTGACAGTAAGTAATACAGGGTGTTGTGACAGTAAGTAATACAGGGTGTTGTGACAGTAAGTAATACAGGGTGTTGTGACAGTATGTAATACAGGGTGTTGTGACAGTAAGTAATACCGGGTGTTGTGACAGTAAGTAATACAGGGTGTTGTGACAGTATCTTAACAGATTTGCAATGAACGTAAACGCATAATTTAGCTCATTGCTAGTAACCACTAATATTTCTACTCCATAAATTAATCTGAAGATGGATAAAACTGTTCCACTGTTTACATTTTCTTATTTTCCCTTCTTTATGAACTTAAAAAGCTACAATGTTCCCCTGAACCCCCTGCCCAGCATCCCTTATATTACATGATACTCGGTAACGCCCTTGGATACGTGAGCAAATATCTTTTGTTGCTTGGCTAATAGCTTTGCACTGGAGAGCTCTCTTTTCCTTTATCTGTATGCAAATAGCTCCCGCCTTCACCATCTCAGTCATAGTCTTTCAAATATTGGAACAGCTTTTTGTTAGTTTTATATACAGTTTTATTTGTCAGAGAAATTAATAACTTATAAGAATTATAAGCACACTTTCTTCGAATCTTGCGTGCCTATTGTAGGCATAGATTACGTTATTCATCAATAAAATTGCTCAATATAATATAGCACAATTTCTATTTTAAATATGACTGGCTACACGTCTGCCAATATTTACGTCATACAGAGCACTTATTAATTATTAAAATGCAATCAAATAATATCTTTCTCATAAAAACCATACTTTATAAAATTCTAAGTTCTTATGTACATGTTCAATGTTCATGAGTCGCTTTAGATGGCTTGAACTGAATCTTTGGGTTTTGAGTCCTTTTTGGCTATAAAGCGATGTATAAAGTTCTAGTTATTATTATTATTATTATAAATTTACATGTTAATAAGGATGTAAGACTAAATTAGCCACGAAATCAGATAGATCCATCGTGCACTCAAATGGCACATGATACTCTGGTCCCACTGTAGCAGAAAGCCATCAAAACAAGGGTGTAATTTTCACTTTTCACAATTTTCGACCTCGACTAAATGCTCGTAACTACTAGTAACCACTAGTAACCATTAGTAAATACTAATAACTAGTAGTAACCATAAGTAACCATTAGTAACCACTAGTAACCACTAGTAACCATTAGTAATCAATAGTAACCATTAGTAACCATTAGTAAACACTGGTAACCGACTAAATGTTTATTTGCAGGACGAGGACCCAATGCAAATGATATTACCATCGTACACTAATGAAGAGATGACGTATGATTCTACTCTCAAAGTAAAGCACAGTCTAGAGGTCGCTCAGCAGGTAATGTGTGGTTTGTAAAACTATATAATGAAATACTATGTTATATAATATATTAGTTATAATAGTTCTATATTATATTATACTCTGTATTATATTATATATACTCTATATATTATATAGTTTTATATAGTTCTACTCTTTATGTTATATAGTTCTGCTTAGACTGTATTTACTTTTGAAACCTCTTCACGCCTGCACTTCGCACCAAGAACACACAAATACATTGTTGTGAAACATATTATTCCCATTTTCACAAAGATATTGCTTGTAAAAGGATCTTCCTGTGAATGAAATGATTATTGTAATATAATTACTGTAAAAGGGTCTGTTATTTGTGATAATTTTGTGAAGTTTATTTTTGAATTTTGTGACTTTTTAGAGTGCCGCTCTTACCATTTTATCTTTTATAATGGTAACGATTGTTGACTTATTGAGGTTATTTTAAAATTCTTACTTTGTAGTTGAACAGAGAGTTAATATATAAGGAGTGGCGCTCTTTAATGTTGAGCATACTTGACGTCACAAAAATAAACAGTTATCTGTGCTTCATTACCTCCGCTGATAAAACGACCTTAATTATATTATCTATAATAATATATAAATAATAATGATTATTAGTGCAACTATGGTAGCTAGTAGTGTAACTATGGTAACCAGTGGTGTTACTATGGTAATTGAACTATATAATCTATATTATATAAATGATGTACAATCCAAGAGTCTGAGAGTATCCTTCAAAAAGATATTATAAATACTACAAATGCTAAATGCTTGCTGGAATATATTTTAAATCAAAAATCAAATCAAAATATAATGACACAAACATCATCACACATCATCAAAAATATATCTACTAAAGTTTTAAAAATATCTTAAATCTATTGGCCTAAACAACCAAGATAAAATGAATCTAATTTACATACTTTCCACTACTATATAAGTTAATAAAGCGTTTCTTAGCAACATGAGGATTACACACAAGATATTCATTGTGCTACTCTTTATTAGTAGCATAATTTAATCCCTCAATCTTCCCTAATACTTCGTCCGAAACATACCAAAAATGAATATCATTTACGGATCCGTTTAAAATAGTCTCTTTTTTGAAAGCTTCTAATCTTATTTTAAAACTTAACACAGTCCCACAATTCTTGACATCCGAGGGGAGTTTGTTCCAATAAGGTCTCACCCTCTCCGGAAGAAAAGAACTGTGGACTTTCTTCATTTTACTGCTACTTTTACTGCATCTACTGTTTGATACCACATTAAAACCAGATCTGCTCATACTGAACAAACCAGCTCCGTAATTGGCCAAACCACTTCATCAACCACATCATTTTAAAAGATTCAATGAGGTCCCCACGTATTCGCCGCTCTGCCAGCGTTGTTAAATTGAGGATTTCCAGTCGACGACTGTATGGAAGAGTACCCACCTCGTCAATCAGACGGGTAAACCGCCTCTGGACGCTCTCCAGCTCCAAGATGATCCCCCAACTTCCATGAGCCGCAACTGGACTCCACAATTGAACACAATTATCTAAATGGGGTCTTATCAAAGCTTTGTAAATGGATATCATCACAGATTTTTCCCTGATAATCAAATTTCTAACAATCCAACATATCATTCTGTTGGCTTTAGATATTGAAGCCTTAATCTGTTCATTCCAAAGCAGAGAGTTATGGGTTATAACTCCCAAGTCCTTTTCCTGTACAGATTCTGCCAATGTAACTCCATTAAGAGAATAACTTGATCTTGGGTTATCGTTAACATCTAAATGCATTACTGAACACTTAGTAGGATTAAACTTTAAAAGCCATTTACTCTCCCACATCTCTAGTTCGTTCAGATCATTAGCTATAGTTTCATGCTCGGAGGCATTAGCTATAAGCTTAAGATCATCAGCAAATATTTTAACTTTACTTTTAATGTTATCTGGTAAATCATTAATAAATAACACAAATAGTAATGGTCCAAGGACTGATCCCTGGGGAACTCCTGACCATATAATCTTCCACTCTGAAGTTTCACCTTCTACACACACTCTCATAGTTCTATTTGAGATAAAATCTGTAATTACATCTAAAACTTTACCAGTTATCCCTAGACTCTCTAGCTTGTTAATTACGCAGTTATTATCTTGAAATATGAAATTCATGAGACTTTTCCTGAGAATATTTCTCGCATTCTTATCATGCGTTCAGTTAAATACTATAGCTAAGTTATGTGCATTTATTATTGACATTTATTATTAACATTATGTATTTCATCAGATGTGTATTAACGCGAGGCAGTGGGAAACCAGATATCTAAGGTTGAGTTTACAGTATCTCAAACTTCAAACATTCCTCCAGCACATAGATTCAGGTTAGTTTCCCCTCCGGTGTTGGATTTCTGTTGAAGTTAAGAGTTCTGACTCCTGTGATATGAGGGCGGGGTGAATATATTGTTTCCTTAAAGTAGAATACTATTCCCGGAAAATATTTACTAATTTGTAGCGCGCGACGACATTTCAATGTACAGTTCAAGGTTCCTCACATTTGGAAATTGCGCGGCTCAAGGCGCGCTTGTTACTTCCATGCAGTAATGAAAACAAATCAAATTCTGCCGCATTAAGTTTCGCGCTAGATTGTCCACTATTATTATACTAGCCATATTCAGAATTCGGGAAATTGGTAGATCACCGACCGGCTATAAGCCGGTTATAAGCCGGCTATAAACCGGCTTATAGCCGGCTACAATTTTTATAGCCGGCTATAAGCCGGCTTATAGCCGGTTAGTAGCCGCTTACATTTGTTGTTGAGCGACGGCTATTAGCCGGTTATAAGCCGGCTATTAGCCGTTTAGGTATCGGCTATAAGAAATTCAGTGAAAACGGCTATTAGCCGGTTATAAGCCGGCTATTAGCCGTTTAGGTATCGAAAGTGGTTATAAGCCGGCTATAAGCCGGCTATAAGATATTAACTTAACTTCATCGTACTGAACTGAGTTAATATCTTATAACCGGCTTATAGCCGGCTTATAGCCGGCTTATAACCACTTTCGATACCTAAACGGCTAATAGCCGGCTTATAACCGGCTAATAGCCGTTTTCACTGAATTTCTTATAGCCGGCTCCTGACTATCGTTCAGTACGATGTAGTTGAGTTAATATCTTATAACCGGCTTATAGCCGGCTTATAACCACTTTTAATACCAAAACGGCTAATAGCAGGCTTATAACCGGCTTATAGCCGGTCGGTGATCTACCAATTTCCCCCGGCTAATAGCCGTCGCTCAACAACAAATGTAAGCGGCTACTAACCGGCTATAAGCCGGCTTATAGCCGGCTTTAAAAATTGTAGCCGGCTATAAGCCGGCTTATAGCCGGTTAGTAGCCGGCTTATAGCCGGTCGGTGATCTACCAACTGGCCCAGAATTCTACCAGTTACCTAGTTACCTTTAAATTCTAATCTAAATTTGAAATTATAATGTGATAGAGCAAATTATACGTTTTGTCTAATAGTTGCCACTCAAGTTAAAATACGCCCAATCTCTATATTGGATAGAGTGCCCATATAAGTACATAGCTTCTAATGTTTATATTTTATACCATGTATTTATCACGCTTCGACATGGAAACAGAGTAATTAATCTCAGACTATTGCAATTAATAATTAACTAATATCACCCCGACAGGCTTTATGCAGCACAGCTCAATCTCAGAATACGTCGAGTCAAATCACATGGAGAACATTAAAACAATCGCCGAGTTTACTGACTGTCAAGTTCCATTAACTGAAGGAAACTCTGCTAATTTCGTGGACCATCTGGGTTTTAGGTATATTAATTTGGTATCAGTTAATTGCTAAATTCTATGATTGGAAAACTGTTAAATTTAATAACACCTCATATTTTCCCAAGATTTTGATAATTCAAATTTAACTATATAAACACGAATAATATGATAATAATACATTCTGAATATGTCACATCTGTTTTATTAATCTAATATTTAGGACGGAACTAGAAGGATCGGGAATGTTTATGAGGTACATGTGTCAGGAGCGGCTGCAAGACAACATCCTCACTAAACTTGAACCTACTGACACCCTTTTTGTGAGGTAATTAGCTAATTATTCGCTTGTTAGCAATAGATGTGAGGTAATTATTAGCTTATTAGCAATAGATGTGAGGTAATTAGTAGATTATTAGCAATAGATGTAAGCGAAGGGACACCTTCAACTGTTTTGTGAGAAATATGTTTACAGGGATTATTAAAACTGGTAGTTCCTCTAATTGTTCACCCTTGAGTGATATGAGTCCATTGAGTCGAGGGCACTAAATTTTGCTTTCTTTTAATATAAAATTCTCCACTATTTGTTTCAGGTGGACTAAGTTGCTAGAAAAGACAAATGATTCAATAAAGTGTTCCAAAGAAAGCAAAGAATTGTGTAGGCAGGGAGTTCCAGGGAAACTGCGAACACGGATTTGGAATGCCTTTATCGACTATCGGTGCTCTAAACTTATGAAATTGAAAGGTATTTATATTCGCTATTTTACAATTATTTGCCTTCTTCAGTTTACTATGGAGTACTCCTCCGCAATAAAAGTATCTCAGTCTGAGTAGGAATTAACAGAAAATGGCCACCTCGATTGATTTTCTCATTAAACTCATTACCGAAATAGCTTTAAATAGCTGAAAATGTATCCTCAGGCCCGAAATACTACCAATCGTTAGTGCAAAGCCCAGAAATATCTCCAAGTGATAAACAAATAAGCTTGGACCTTCACAGATCCTTTCCAAAGAATGTCCATTTTAGCGGTGACCAGGGAACCAAGGTAGGATCCTCCCTGATAACATCTTGTGTAATCTTTTAAATATCCAGTTTTCTGCTTCATCATTGCACTTGTTAAGGGACTTTTGGCCCACTTTTCAATGTACGCATCTCAGGTGCCAGTGCTTCAACGAGTTTTAGTAGCGTTCAGTCTTCACAATAAAGCAATCGGCTACTGTCAGGTAAACTATTTAGTAGCGTTCAGTCTTCACAATAAAGCAATCGGCTACTGTCAGGTAAACTATTTAGTAGCGTTCAGTCTTCACAATAAAGCAATCGGCTACTGTCAGGTAAACTATTTAGTAGCGTTCAGTCTTCACAATAAAGCAATCGGCTACTGTCAGGTAAACTATCATTTTAACTTTAATTACATGAGAACGTTGATAAGAAAGTAGATAACACGGAGTCTTCTCACATTATTATAAACGATATTATTAACCCACAAAAAGTGAGCAGCATCTGGTTTAATACGAGGTTTAAATTCCCAGGGAATGAACATGATAGCGGGGATGTTGCTGTTTCACCTAGAGGAAGAGGCCGCTTTCTGGGGTCTAGTAGCTATTCTGGAGATGATAATGCCCTCAGGCTACTACAACACCGATCTACTCGCTGCCAGGGCCGACCAGATCATATTTCAAGTTTGTAGTTGATTGTTTTGATAGAGATATTTGTGATTTAGCTATCCACTTGTTATCCATATTAAATGAAACAACAGTCATCTGATAATTGAATTGGCAATTAAGGTTATGGCAGATTAAGGTTATGGCAGATGTTCCAGTTAGCGTTGAGGTTTTCTCATGTATGATTATAAACGGATAACGGTTGATCTGTGATCTCGAGTAACATTCCATCGTTCAGGAGTTAGTTGAGGCGAAGTTACCCTGTCTAGCTGCCTACCTCAAACACCACGATATCGACTTGTCTCTCTTCTCCTTCAACTGGTTCATGACAATCTTTATAGACTGTCTCCCAATCAGTGCTGTTATCAGGCTCTGGGACTTGTTCCTTTTGGAGGGCCACAAAACTCTCCTCAGATTCTCTCTTTCTCTTGTTAAACTCCACGAGTTCTCTCTAATGCAGCACCATGACTCTGTTTCTATATTCAACATGTTTAGGAGCACCGCCAGATCATTTTACGACAGCAACTTGATAATAAAGTTAGCGTACACGGAGTTCAAGCCGTTTCCAAAGCGGAGCGAACTGTTTAGAAGACACTCCGAGAAGTTGGGGGATCTGAGGACGGAGCATGCTGAGAATGAGAGGCAGTGGAGGGAGAGACAGCAACTACCAGAGTCAGTGGACAGAGACACGTGGGCCATAGTTCCAGCCGAGCAGAGTCTCTACCCTGTCTGTAAACCCAGCACGTGCATCCAGCACGCCGCGCAGCACGACCAGGCTTTGTGGGCGGTACAGTCGCGCCCTACTGCAGGTGTTGTTCTGTTGCGGATAGATCTGGGATGTGAGGAGGAGGAAGGGAGAGCTAGTGTTGTGGAGAGGAGTGAGTGTGTGGACAGTAGGATCACGTGCTGTGCTCACGTGACTGCCGGGTTTATCCTGCTGGGAACGGCTAACGGTTACGTCATCACCCACCACCCCACCACTCTCCTCAAGCTCAACACCACCTGGGTCATGGACTGTGTGCTGGGGATTGTGGAGTACCACCAGCAGGTTCTGGTGCACCTCACTAACGGCTCCCTGGTCAGGTTTGAGGGAGTGACGGAGAGTGGGCTTTACTCTCCCAGTATTCTAGATATCAGCACTAGTCCTCTCAGGACGGGGCTTGTAGTGAAAAGTGTGCCTCGAGAGGACGGGGTCAGGGATGAAATGTGGTGCAGCAGTGGAAATGCTCTCTTCTTCGTGGATTTGATTTCTTGGTCTGTTTCTGATAAAATGTCTATTTCTTCACTGACAAACACTCAGATCCACCGAATCGTGGCTTATTCTCCGAGAATTGTTTTCATTTCAGTTCACACCACCATATCAGTGTGGGATATCAGTAAGAAAACCTGTTTAAGTTCCCACGACTGCAGCTCCGTGTTCCTTCCTCCTCCCTCTATGAAATCAATGTCAAAATCAATGTCGTACCAGGGAGTAAAGATGTCGATACACTCCTTATTCTACGACTCCAACTCCAGTACGTTCTGGGTAGGAACAAGTCACGGACACGTCCTGATATACGATGTGAACAACCTCCCCCCAGATAGCGAGTGTTCGGACGGGGATGCCAGTGTGACTGTCCTGAGCAGCGAGCCCCCCTTCACCACCCTCCCTAGCACCAGCCCCTCCTCCTCAAGCTCAGGAGCTAAACCTCTAGCTGAACACGACCTCAGTGTGCAATTTCTGGAGGACGATGTGTCTCTCGTGGCCTCTCAGCTCGACCTCAAACACGGCTGTATGGACGCCTCTTTAGTTCTCATAGCAGAACCCCACAACCCATGCGATCTGAGCTTCCCAGGAGAGGTAAACTTAAATATCCCTCGACTGAGAAAGGACACGTGCCAGGAGTATGACGTTATGGAGGGAGAGGTAAAGTTGGATATCCCTCGACTAAGAAAGGACACGTGCCAAGAGTATGACGTAATGGAGGACCACTGTGACGTCATAGAGTCCCCAAGTGACCTGAACAACTCGTCCCCAATCCACTGTCACATGTACCACACGTTCAACAGGTACCCCTCCCAAGACGAGACCCTCCATGAGTCTGACAGAGAGGGAGAGTTCGAGGTGATAGCAGACCAGGACCCTTGTAACCTCCTCTCACTGAACACTTATCAGATACTGTCAGGAGATCCTATAGCACACATGTCCTCTCTAGACCTAGCCCCCCTCAGTATGTTCAGTGGAGACCCCCTGCGGAGTCCGGGAGTGTTGACGTGCGGGGGAGGGTTAGATCAGGAGGGGGCTGTAGTCCTGTGGAGACGAGTCAGGGACAGTGATAAAGCTAAGAGTAGGTGGCAGGCTGAGCCAGTTTCTCTTAATGATACTTAACAGTAGGGAGGTTTGTTTGTGTGGACGTTATTTGTATTGAGATGTATAGCAAGCGGCTTTTACTAATTCGCTCGCATTAAAATTATCACGTGACTTTGGTTTTCATGGTTTTGCAGCCGAACAAAACGGTTTGAACTTTGACATAAACCCTAATAGTAATCCGTCATGGGGGGTAAGAATTTCACAATAATTATTTTAATTGAGGCGAGCGATTTAGTGGGAGCGAGTTAGTCAGTCATAACATTGAGCTACTAGTTGTTGTGTTGAGGTAAAGTGTGATTTATCATATTAATGTACGATTATTAATTATTGATTATTTAAAATTAAATTTGAATTATACCAGTATGAGAGATGGTTTAGGATTTTGCTTGAAAGTGAAATAAATGCGTTATTCCTGCATTGTATAAATGCAATTGATTATTATTTATTATCAACAAGTATTATACAAATGAATGTTGAACTGTTGATACTATATGAATTTATTGCACAACGTTGGAAGTAACTTGCGTCTACTACTTTATTTGCTATTGAAGTGCAATAAATTGATAATGATATGTCCTAGCTGAAAATAACAATTTCAACAATAAACGTCGTTTTCAAATATTACTACTTCGTTTATTGTTACATATGAATAGATTCAGCAAGAATTCGTTGAATGTTTAATTTGATTGTGTATATCATTAAATTTTCGATAATTCAATGTTTAGCTTAGCGCTTTTACTTTTAGCACGGATAGCTTATACTGCGCCCGTTGGCTTGCTTTTACCGTATGAGGCCAGGCAAGTTGTGACGTCATCAGGCCATGTTGTGACGTCATCAGGCAAGTTCCCAGTATAAAACAGTCCAGAGCCGGGTTGACGTCTAAATCTACATCGTAATTTCATCAAGGGGCCATCTACTTTGACGTCCGCCAAAATCGCATATTTTCAGACCACCCCTCCCCCTGTCCGGGTGTGTCCGAATTTTCAAAACCACCCAGCCCTCCACGGGCGTCCGGATTTCCAGCTACTTTTAAGAGTACAAATAAAACCAACTCAAATTCATTGTTAATGAAATGTGTAGTTACTTAAAATAGACAATAATACATTTAGTGTCGAACAAGTTTGAGATAATCCTAACCCTTCGCTCGCCCAAAAATTTCACGTGACTTTGGTTTTTATGGTATTGCAGCCGTACAAAACGGTTTTACATAAACCCTAATCCTAACCCTAACCAGAACCCCGAAGCTATCCATAACCCTTACCACAACCGTTACCCTAACCCGAGCCCTAAACAATCGAATTCATGTTTTACTAGCCTGTCACGTGACCAAAATGGTTTTTTGCCCATTAACTCTCCAGGGAAGCATTTTTACCCTACGTCATGGGGGGTGATTCGGAATCAGCGTCCAAAAATACACCGATCTAGACTAATTTCATACCGATTGATTGATTGATTGATTGATTGAGGAGCACTACCCGAAGGCATTACTCGGCATTACTGGGCCGCGCTCAGCCTGTCATTCCGCCTAATCTCTATGTTTATGAACATAATAGCCTGAGGTCCCCAGGTAATACTCGGCACTAACGCCTTAAAATCTTTAATTATAATCAAATATAAATATATGCACACAATGTATAAAATATTAATAATGTATAAAATATGATTATGCTATTAGCAAATTTAAATAGTACTATTAAGAATTATAAATAACTCTTATCTCTTGACATAATTTAGAACAGCGACACAGGGTCTGAAGAATGCGCGGTGATATTTTTATCTTTTAAAAGTTGTAAATGACAGTGAAATTGCGCGGTTTCGATAGCATTGTAAAAAATGCTCGAAGATAGTCATATTTCGTTATGAGGTTAAAGTTTTGTTGCTCGTTATTATGATCAACGTATGTTGTACCAAATTATTTAAATTTCTAAAAGTACGAAATATGAGTTGTTCCAGTCCTTGTCATCCGGGTTAAGTGCTTGTGCAGTAAGCACATGCTTGCTGACTGTAGACTTGAATGAATTTAGGAATTTGTCTTGTAGGCAAGTGGTGACGTATTTTATGTCCTTGTTAATAATGTTGACTGTTTTGTTATATAACTTAGGCCCAATGTAAGAAATGCTCTTGTCTGAATTACATAAACGGTTAAATGGTACTGCAAAGAACTCAGGTTCTCTTCTAGGTGCGTTTAAGTTTGAAACAGTGAACAATCTTATAATATTTGGTGGTGCAGTGTTAGAATAAACTTTGTGCATCAAGCATAATATACATTTAGCTATCACGTTCGGTAAAGCTAATACTTCTAGTTTATTGAAAATTTCCTTTGTGTGTGAAGGTGTGCTATTCAGATCTTTGTCATAAAAATAGCGGTGGTATTGGTTATCTGCAGCGCGAATGCCCTTTTTCTGGGCCGAGAAGACTCTTTTAACGGAGTTTAGCGATCTTGTTCCCCAAACTGTGCAGCAGTAGTACAAGTGAGACTGAACAAAGCTGTTGTATATCAACTTGAGTGCTTTGTTAGGTACTGAGCCTTTGAGTTTGTAGAGAATGCCCGCATTTCTAGATACTTTAGTGGCTAAATGTCTAATGTGGTGGGCCCAATTTAGCTTGGTATCAATGATCACGCCAAGAAACTTTTCGTGATAACTTTGCTTTAGTCGTTCACCTCCCATGTAGATTTCTATATCCTCAGTTTTCTTATTTGTAAAGATCATATATTTAGTTTTGCTAGCATTTAATTTAAGCCCGTTATTAGTAGCCCAATCAATTATCAAAGTCAGAATCTCATTCACCATTGCATTAAGTTGTTCAAATGTATCTGTACTTATTATTAGGTTTGCGTCGTCAGCGAAATAAATATGTTTAGCTAAATTACTAATCTGAGGAAGGTCGTTGATGTAAATTATGAACAGAATTGGTCCGAGAATGGAGCCCTGTGGTACTCCGTAGTTAAGTTTGAGGTGAGAGGACTTGCAGTTGTTCATTGTTGACGCTCACGTATTGCTCTCTATCGGTTAGATATGAGTCAAACCGAAAGGGCCTTTTCACAAGAATTTTCTTAAAATTTGGGCGAGCGATTTAGTAGGAGCGAAGCTAAGTAGATGGCCCCCGCAAAGGTTACAACTGCAAACTAGAACTGCGACGTTGCTTAAGCAATATAAAATATCACAAAATTGCATTGCAACTGCACGAGCAAGCAGAAATTAGCACCGCGTGTTAAATTGACGATGTGAATTCATTGCAGCTCGGTGCGGCACATGAGTAGCGCATTTTGCCGATCTATCGATGTCACTGTGAGAAGCCTCATTGAGTGCGCGCGCGGCACATTAACGCATAGCGCTACAAATTTTATGTTCCTTTAATCATAAATAGAATAAAAACTTAAACCACGAATTAGTTAACCATTTATATAATATAACTAAAAGTAAACTTGAGAAAATATTTGTTTGGTTAAAAGCATTGTCCACCCCATCACATTCAGCTGACGACGATTAACACATGTTATAATCAAAAGCTTCTACAACTTAAACCATTGTATCTCTTATATAGTTTATAACTCATCTCCATTCAATTTTTTGGTGATCGTACGTTATTTGGAGGACTTCGCCTATTCGACGCGCCGCGCAAACTAACATTCTTGCATCGCATCGTTGACCATTGTTAATGATTTGGCCCGGCGCGCGCTACTTCGTAGCACTTGCCATCCGCGAGAAGAAAGCGGCGCGCGCTACTTCGAAGAAATTTAGAAGAGTAACATCCGTCAAATCGCATTGAAGTAATTACAAAGCAACAATCTGGAAGGGTTGACATCGTCAATCAAGTATGTAATTATGTCTTATTATTTATTAAACTTTATTGGGTTGTAAGCATTTTTATTATGGCAAGTGGTAATTGAATTTGGTGAAACAGGATCAGTTTCTCTATTGTCTTAAAAAATGTATACTTCATAGTAAGCAATGCTGAGTGGCAGGGAGGGACCAAAACGCTTAGGGCTACCAATGGCCCATTAACAATTCACTTCAGACATGGCAATGATGTCATTTATGCTTAATTTGTCTGAAACTGAGACTACTGCACTTCTAACGTTTAACCTGATCTAACGTTTAACCTGATCAACACTCTTAAACCCTAAAAGGTCATGGAGTGCTCTAGTTGGATGGGGGTCTAAACTGCTTTTTGTTGTGATGTGATTTAGTGGATTTTATATATATTATTACAAAGGGTTTTATTTTTACCTCAGTTTTTAAATTTGTACCATTTTTACAGAATTTTTATATAGGGTCATTGCTATATTATGTGTATATTGTTTGAATATTTTCTCTTCTAACGTTTTATAAAAATCTCTTGGCAAAAATACTCGCATCTTTATTATTTGATTGACGATGTCAATCCTTCGCATCTCGCCGATCTGCATTTGTGGTTGCGAGAAGCATTATTGGATGCGCGCGCGACAATAACGAACTCAGGGGCAAAAAGAAGAGGCAAACCAAGCCCCCATTTACCAAGCCCCCATTTATCATTGATAACCAAAGAATAGTTGATAGAAGAGCAATTGCTAATGGATTCAATGCTTGGTTTGTCTCTATTGCACCAAAGCTGAATGAGACACTGAATAATCTATCTAATGGCCTGCTTATATTACCCATGAAAACTTTCTATGACTTCCTGAACCCAAGAAATGAAAAAAATATTAGGCTAGAAGATTGCTCCTCGAACGAAATATTGAAAATCATAAGCGAGTTCGAAAATGGTAAAGCCAGTGACATCCCCATAAGTGTAGTAAAAAAGTCATCTCATGTAATTGCACCTGTATTGTCGAATTACTTCAATATCCTTATGACCCAAGGTATATTTCCTGATGTCCTAAAAACTGGTAAAATCACACCTGTATATAAGAAAGGTAACCCAGAAGAAATAGAGAACTACCGTCCTATCTCCACACTGTCCGTCTTTGGTAAGATTTTTGAAAAGCTCATATATTCTAGAATATACGGATTTGTTAGCTCCCAGGGAGTTATATCGAAGACACAGTTTGGATTTAGGAAATCTCACTCTACATCTCATGCAGTTAATTACTCTGTAGATTTAATTACGAAATCTCTTAAACTTAAGAATCATGTTTTAGGAATATTCATTGACCTAAGCAAAGCTTTTGACACCATCGACCATTCAACACTTCTCATAAAATTAGAGGGATGTGGAGTGAGAGGAGTTGCAAATAACCTCATAAAAAGCTACTTGACAAACAGACAACAGTACACCGAAGTTGTAGGAGAAAAATCAGATACCCTATCTATTCAATTTGGTGTCCCACAGGGTTCAATTCTTGGACCTCTCCTATTTCTTCTTTATATGAACGACATCACAAACAGTTCTAAACTAGGATCATTTGTTACCTTTGCTGATGATACCAATATATTTGTTGTCGGCAAAACAAAACGTGAGGCATATGAACGAGGAAATGAGCTTTTGTCATCATTACAATCTTATATGAGAGCGAATAAATTACATATAAACATGTCCAAGTGCTGCTACATACACTTCAAACCCACCATGGCAGGTTCTAAGTCAGAGATTTTATCACACCCTGAAGTTGCACTAACTATAGACAACTTTCCAATCAAAAAGGTTTCATCCGCAAAATTTCTGGGTGTTATAATTGACGAGAACCTATCATGGGAAGATCACATTAAAGCTCTTAAGCGAAATCTAAATCACTCCACATCCACTTTATGTAGACTTCGCTGCTCCCTTCCAGAATTTCTACATCAACAATTATACTATACCCTGTTCGAATCACATCTTTCTTACTGTATATCTGTATGGGGTGGGGCAGCTAAGCAACGTATAAGCTCAATATTTACTGCTCAGAAGTACTGTCTCAGAGTACTATTTGGTGATAGGCTGGCGTACCTTGATAAGTTTAAGACTTGTGCACGTACTAGGCCTATAGGACACCAGAAACTTGACCAAAAATTTTTCATAAAAGAGCACACCAAACCTATATTCAAGCATAATAATATTCTAGCTATACAAAATCTCTATACATACCACAGTTACCTGGAGCTCTACAAGATAATGAAATTCCGTGCTCCAATATCCTTACATGAGGGTTACACATGTTCGTCAAGGAAACCCTGCCTACTAATCTGTCAGGCAGACCCACCTGACAACCACAACACTAGATCAACCAAAATTTTTAACATTTTAACCCCAAAGTTCAGAATGACTGACTTCACTACTAGTGTAATGTGCCTGCGAGGAAAGCTAAAACGTGCGCTATTAGCCAATCAACATAACCACGCCCTGCTTGATTGGACCATAAAAGATTTTGACTGCACAAATGTTATTTTCCAAACATCATAACTGGCTGGTCACACACATCTCAATTAAATTCCCTAGGCTACTGTTTTCCAAGTCTTGTCCTGTGAGTAAAGTATGTGTGAGAAAGTTTTAATAAAATAAATGTATATTTTTGAATTTATTAAATTTAATCTGAGAATGAAGTTATAAAGAAATTTTAATTAGCACTGTATAGTTTAAGATATTTATAGCTTATTATAACCATTGACACAAAGGCCATAATCTTTCGCTAGCTCTCCAATATCCACCATGAAGCTGCATTTTATATCCTTGTACTACACAATATAAACTAAAGTATGTTTTAGTGTAGACTTTTTGTCACAACAAGACTGCAACCTATAGTAACAACTATTATAAACAGAACCCCTAATGTCTACTAAAAAATTTCTTCTAGTCCTAATATGAGCCTTGTCTCTAAAAACCTAACTGAACTAGCGTTTCGGTGTGTGCAAAAGCTCTCAGGCACGCGCATTCCTTGCCCCGTTAGTTACCTGTCCTTCCAAACCCAAACTAGCAGTCAAGGACAAAAAGTCATACACCAAATGGGCATTATATTTTATGAATTGTTTTACATCTTTTTATTCTGTAAAATGTGCTAAAATTAAATTTCTTGTTTCATTGAATTTCTTGTTTCATTGAGTAGTGCATCGCGCTACAACTTTATTATGTATGAAGAATGCATAACACAAAACACACAAACAAAATGTTTCTAATCCATTTATAAATTTCTATAAAACTTATAAATTTCTACAAAACTAATAAACCTATATATTCATTTTGCACCAAGAGAAAGATGTGATCACAGAAAGATGTGATCACAGAGGTAGTTTCGATATTATGTTCTATGACAAGGTATGGGGCTGCTGCAAGTTATATTTTGCTAAGATACTACAACTTTTGCAAGCTAAATTTTAAATTTTTTGAATTTTGTTGAACACTGTTTAATGCTAAGTTCCAGTCATTTGGTTCTCCTTCATTTTGAGTGTGAGCAATGGTTATTTTTACAGATGATTTGAAATGATTGTGCTTACAGGTGAATGTAGTTAGCATAAGATTTTGCTGTACTGTGTTCCATATTGTCCCTGCTCTGTACATGTAGCTGTCTGTTGGTTTAGGTGTAAGAATGAGTGTCTCTTTGCCAAGTATGTCAGATGTTTCAAAGAGGAAGTATAGTGATATAGGGATTTTATATTTCAAGACTTTGAAGATGTCATTAATACAATGGTAGAAGTACAGATTGTGCACATTCATGATTTCATGAGTGTTAAAGAGAGGTTTAGTAGGCTTCTTTCTGTAGAATTCACCGCCTAGTATTTGCTCGGACCCATATTAGAGTCTGTATCGTGCACTATTTTTAAATTGATTCAAGTAGGCTTCTCTATTACCAAACATAATGCGGGCACACATTTTTTGTGCTTTAAACAGAGGTTCAAGTTTTTTGTTAGATGCTCCACCCCAAACAGTTATATAACCATAGGCAAGATAGCTTTCAAACGAAGAGAGATACAGATCTTTATGGAGTGATGTGGGAATGTTATCTCTAATTCTATTTAGCATGCCACAGCAGGTGGCTAGTTTTTGTTTGTTTGTTTACCTTTAAATGTGCATTCCAGTTTTTCTTTTTTGACCATTATTGACCATACTATTTGCTTTTGTAAACAAGAATACTGCCAAACATTTGTAACAAATTTGTATCTACAACATCTTGCACTCTTCCCAAATCCCAATAAACTATAAAAATGAACTACTCATTCTCAATAGAGACACATCAAACACATCATTTTTAAACTGATATTTAATAAATGATTAAAAGAACAAATTTTAAAGTTGCCATTAGATCCAAAAATACACCCATTATGCTCACTTAAAAACAACTCTAAATCAGTAGGCTGTCACTCTATTAATGCACCACACCGCTACCTCCACTGCACTAATAGTTATACAATAAATTCTACAATCCTAATTTTGTATCGTGATGGAGACCGGTGTTCATACAAAACATTTACTAGGTTGCCGTTTGGTGTGAGCAATAGCGAACAGCACGCACACTCCTTTGCCCCGTCAACCTATATCTAATCTATTTAAAGAGTGACAACCATACTGCACATTGAATTAGGATTCCGTTAAATATCAAATTGATTTATTGTAAACTTGTTTAATCTGTAATAAATGGCATAAAATTGAAATTTTTGTTTAACTGTAACTGACAAGTTTCTTCTGCAGCAATGTTTTTAAATAATTTACCTAGTTAGTTCAAATGGACGATGATTCTCAGTTCAGCCAGTACTTGTCAGAGCTTGATTCCCCCAACACTGAAGGATATACATTTTTCACCAAGAATGAGACTGATGGATATTCTCTAGAAATTTACCGAAAATATGAAGAGGTATTTAAGATAATTTTCACTGTTTGTGCAGTTTATATTGTATTCCCATTAAGTTTTAATTTTAATGCGAGTCATTAGTTGAGGCTTTACAACCTTGTATTCATTTTTCAGGCATCAGGTCTGTACAAATACAAAAGCTATGGAGAGCTTAAATCAATTGATACAGAAACGGTTAATGCTGTCTACAATGATCTAGAGTACAGAAAAAAATGGGATGCTTATTGTGCTGGTTCGTTTGCATATCAAGTGAATCTTGCTTTTAGTTGTCCAGTCCACACATTTCATAACCATCTTGTAGCCATACTCTTGTCTGAACCATTTTAACATCTGGGATTGAATTGATTTGTGTATTTTAACATCTGGGATTGAATTGATTTGTGTATTGGTCGAGAGACTGTGGGATACTGAAGGGAAAGGAAGCAGTTCTAACGAGCTCTTCTCAAACACAAGGATATAACTTGTGAACTCGGCTAGTATATATGAAACATTTGTCATGGAGTTGTAGAGGGAGTTATGTGCCTCGCCGGGCTAAAGTAGTGGATGACCTTGCTGTACGGCAAGTTAAACAAGGATCTGAAACTACTAGGTTCCGTACAGACTCAACTCTGCACCCGTGTCAATATGTTCATTATATGCAAGCCTCTTGATTTTTAAAAGTATAGTAAATTTTTAGAATTTTTGAATCCTGATTGAAACTGAGCATTTTACCACTTTTCAGATCTCCATGTTATATCTGAGACAAGTGTACTGCAAAATATATATTGGCGAGTAGCATATCCTTGGCCGATGAGTCACAGAGATTATGTGTTCAGCAGAAAGAGCAAAATATTTGAAGCCACTGAAAACAGCCCCAAAAGATGGTGTATAATTGGTAATAAATTTAACTATTTTTGTTGGCTGCTTTAAGTTTAGGATTATTTTTCTATATTTCATATTGCATTTTAATCAAACTATTATATTTGTATCACAGTTTGTCAGGTGAAGTGAGAAGTCAGAGTGTGATATTGATCAAACTGATATTCTTATGCCTCTATTGTTAATAAAATGTAGGTACTAAATTTTCCTGTTGCCAGCAGGGCTCATATCACAAATCACACATTAGAGATGCCTAGCTTGCTGCAGGCTAAATGCACATTAACAATAAAAGGACAAATTTTATAAACAACATTTTATTTCACATTCGTTATTTGATTTAATAAAAAGTTAAACCACAATTTCGTTTACTACACATTAGACCAATTATAATCAAGGGTGAAGGGTATGTTACTATATAACAACTTTTGTCAGGAAAAGGTGACCCCTCTTCATGTCATGAAGAGGTGAAAGGTGTTATAAGAGTGAAGGATTATGAGCAGACATTGGCTCTTCAACCTTCAAAAAATGGTCTAGGTACAAAAGGTGAGGTACTGCAGTTGTGTGCAGACTTTATTATAGTTAATTTAAACAATTCTATGCTCATTGATAAATCCAGGCATATTTGATATATTATTAATTCTCCTTTCAGTTTTTCTCTACTACTTTGATAATCCTGGTGGTGCCCTTCCAACTTGGGTGGTCAACTGGGCTGCAAAGGTAAAATATTTTGATTCAGTGATCTATTAAATTTATATTATTGTGATGAGAATCCATGATTATAACAATGCAGAATGTGCATCTACTGTGCATCTACTGTTTCATTCAGAGAGCAATGTTATTTTGTCTATTTTTCTCTGCATTTAAATTATCGTCACTAACTCTAATTTCAGACAGGAGTCCCACAGTTTATGAAAACTCTTCAAAGCGCATGTGAAAAATTCACATCAAAATAAAAGTTTCTTTAGTAAAAATAAAAGTTTCTTTAGTACGTTAGTCGTTAATATTCTGCTATAAAAATCAAAATCAGTTAATTTATAGGTTAGTATTTGAATTAAAATCAACTTTTATTTATACTCCTTTAAAAACACGGTTTGGGCTGAAAACTTACATAGCTTCGCTTAAATATTGTTATTCTACGGTAATCAGCGTTAATTCTTGAAAAAGTTTGTAAATTTATGTTTTCGATTGATTTTATACGTCATTATTATTAGAAATAAATGTGACATTTAAAAGTTATATACTGTACGTTCTAATGGAATAAACTTAACACTATCAAGTTGACAGCAACTCTCTGGTCAATGCTTTTGAAAAACTGTGGAACTGATTTAGAGCCCTCTAGCTTCTCGGTATAGTGTTCTTGTTTTACTGGATTTAGACCACAGCCACAAAAACTGAGCTTTAAGTGCTAATTAGTTACTTGTCAAGGGAAGATTTTATTGATATAATTAGGTTAAGAAAGTCTTATTTTTGGCCAAGGTTTAAGTCTAGTAGGAAGCAAGTAGGAAGCAAGTTTGGAAATACTGGAATAGCACTCAAATTTTAGGACGGAAATTTACAACTTGCACATTTTTAGACTTGAGATGTAATAGAGCAGGGAATCTGATTAACATTCTTTACAATTCAAGTAATTCTGTTGGTGTCTTTTAAATATAATAGTATTTCTAGGTACAATGTACATATTATATACCATAGGTACTTTGATAGGAGTTTTAATTTTATAGTTTTCAGATTAACAATGTAGATTAACAATGTAGCCAACTCAAGTTTTGTGAATTAGCTCCTTTAGCTGCAGAGTAAGTTTCGATTCTTTTTTATTTGTGTCAGCATACTATGATTCTAACTTGCACTGTTTTAGTGATCATAATTATAATATAATTATATAATCTAGATGATTTAATGGGGTTTGTTTTGTAATTGAAATTGTTAATTAATTAATTAATTAATTAATTAATTAATTAATTAATTGTTAATGTGACCGATCATTTCAGTTATTTATAATCGTACTTTCATTGCTTCTACTATTTCTCTAAAGCGTCATTCGTTAAACATTATAACATTCGTTAAATGAAGCCAAGTACATGACGTGCATACATTCCTTGTGTGTTAAAATAATAACCATTAAGGGGGGGGGGGGGGGGGGTGGGGATTACTAACATTGATTGTAGAAATGTGAAGATATCATTTATATTGTATTATTACGGCACCTCAAAATAACATGGAGATAACTTTAAAAAACCTCAGAAAACTAATTCGTAACATGACCTACAAAACTACATCCAATCTGTGAAATGAACTGGTCACAAGCAAGGAAATGGCTAAGTCCTGTCATTGTTGCTGGAAGCTTTCTTGCTGGAGAAAGGACCCATCATCACGAGGATACACAGTACCAATTACACAAGTACCAGTTAATTGATTTCGAGGATATCATCGAGGACACAAAGGACAAGATAATGCAAAAGATGGTTGAGGCTCACATACCAGGATCATGCTGTATAGTTCATGTTGATGGTAGGCCGGTCATGAAAGCTGGTTTTGGTTTTTCTGACGTTGAGAATTGCACCCCATTCACCTGTAAAACATCCATGCGAATAGCCAGCATCAGCAAGCTCATCACTGCTTTAATGACTGTTAATCTTGCTCAAGAAGGGAAAGTAGATCTCAACGATAATTTAGTAGAGTTGTTAAAGTCAAATCAGATACAACTGACAGTGGGGAATGAGGAAGTAGATTGTTTGACTATTAAGGAATTACTGAGTCACACAGCTGGAGTAAGGCATTACCACGAGGCTGATGAAGGAGGTGGTGATTCCACCGCGCAAGAGTTCTTCTCTAGTAGGAACTATCCTACTGTTAAACATGGTCTCCAGATGTTCATTAATGATAAACTTCTGTTTAAACCAGGTTCTGAGTACAAGTACACTACATTTGGTTACAGTCTACTGAGTTTCATCCTAGAAAAATGTTCAGGCAAATCGTTTGAGCAACTGTTGTCTGATTTTACATCTAAACTAGGATTACCTCACACACGTCTTGATTCCTTTGAAGACATTATCCTGAATCGCTGTCAGTACTACTGTAAGAGTGATAAGGGGAAGCTAAAGAACTGCCCTTATGTTGACAACTCCTGTAAATGGGCTGGTGGAGGAATGGTCAGCACTGCGGAGGACATTGCTAAGCTGGGGGACATTCTTCTGTACCTCTACCAATCTGAGTCATCCGATAACTACGTAAATAAGGAGTCTCTCCAATCAATGATAGAGTTTAACCCAGTAACTGGAACTGAGAGAGCAGGGTTAAAGTCACACTATGGGTACGGAGTGAGAGTGTTCCACGAGCAACAATCACACGGTAAAACAGCTCAGTACTTAAAACTCTCCCACAATGGCGGGGCAATAGGAGCTAGCAGTACAGTGTTAGTGTTACCTCTGGGTAACCAGGGTAACCAGGGTAACCAGGGTAACCAGGGGACACCTAGGGGGATCACTGTGGTTATGTTGAGTAACTCACTTGAGGGGGATGTGGTCAGACTTGCTCATGAGATAGCGGCTTCCTTCGCAGAGAGAATTGAGAATGGAGGTGACTGTTGTGAGCAATTGTATGGTTTAGTTTAGTGTTACTGTGGTCTTCTATATTATGTGTAGTAGTGGGTATTTCTCAACTGTTGAACTTTAATTTCTCTAAGATTTCAGGAAATACAAAGTACAGCATGCTATTTTTGATGTTTTTATAAATTATTCTTACATTTTTTACTTTTTGATCAACTGAAAATGGTGGAACTTTGTATTGCTATGTTCAATTTACTGCCTTCCAATTATTATCATTTTGCTTTTATCAGATTATGATAATGGTTTTCCTTTCTTTGTTTTGTCCTGAAATAATTTCAGATGTCCATGTCGCAAGATATGACCTGTTTTAAGTTCACCATTTTTAAATAAAGAATAATCCGGATATAATGGAGCTTTTTCCAGACTTACGATTAAAAACCTCAGATTAGAATGATGACTTTATCTGATGCTCAATAAGCCGTTGAACGTAGCCCATGCAAAAGACCGTCAAGCTCAAAGATGCATCAAGAAGGGACTGTTTGATTCGGCTGTCAATCTAGAGAGAAATATCATCGAAAATCTTGAGGTTTGTATTGAAAAATGAAGGCTATCGTACTTTTAATAAGTCGTAAAACCATTGGAGAGACACGTCCTGTTGACTCATAATGATTTATTCTGCCGAATTAATTGTTTTGAGAAAGTTACAATCGTTTTAAGATTGCCTTATAAAATCCCGATATTCAGGAGGCACTAAAAGATTCTACAAATCCACTAGCTGTACAGTCGATTGTCGCTCAGAAAGCAAGACACTCAGCCACTTTAGCGAGACTAGAGAAAGAAATCGGAGTTCGTGATAGAGCAAGGTAGATATCATTTTCTACAAAATATTTTCTTACAATTCAGCTTTAAATTTATCATCACTTAAAATTACGTACTTACAATTCAGCTGTTACTTAAAGCATATTATTTACAATTTAAAAGACAACAAATACCTACAATTCAGCCGAAAAGAGTAAAGATCCTTTTATATTATATAATAATAACTATAATGTCCACTTACCATTCAAGTTAAATACAAAATCTCATCAGATCTCAATTACAGGCGCTGTGTGTTAGTCACTGACTTGCCCCCCACTGAAATGAATGAGATTCCCCAATTTGGAGGTAAATCCGCCCCCGTCCTCAGCTCCTCCTACGGGCTCCCCTCCAACGCATCAGACAAGGACCGCATGATCCTCCGTTTGCAAGACAAGGTGGCAATCCTCACCTCCCAGCTAGAGGAAAGTAAAGCAGAGAACACTAGGTTGAGTGAGCGTGTTAAAGAGTTGGAGCGTAACCAGGGTAACCAGGGTAACCATGGCAACCAGAGTAACCAGAGTTGCAGCACCACACAACTGTTATCACCCCATACTAGTTCATACCACCATGTCCCTCCACCTCCCACCCTGTTAGCTGATCCTCAGGATGCTTTTAGTCTCACCCCTCTGGAGCAGCCCCCTGTCATGGACTACAACTTTAAGTGGTGAAATAATGAGATAGTGAGATAATGAGATAGTGAGATAATGAGATAATGAGTTCTCTGTTACCGGGCCTAATTGTCTGTGTTTTGATTGTTGGAATATTTATTGGAATTTTATCAGTTTCAAGTTTGTTTGTTTTTTAAAGGTTTAATCATACATTATATCTTGAAGTATTGGTATTGTAATTTTGATAGTTCATCTGTCTGTTCTGATCCTAATTCCTACCATATAATATGTACTGTACAATGTACAATATACAATGTACAATGTACGATATACAATAGACAATGTACAATAGACAATGTACAATGTACAATGTACAATGTACAATGTACAATGTACAATGTACAGTGTACATTTTAGTGTTATACCATATTATATATATAATGTACATGACGTGTAGATCACTGAGTTACAGCCTCTGTTACTACTTTGTTTAATTACTTAATCAGATTGTTCGCATGAAATATTATACTTATTTGTGTTATGTATTAGTTAACGTACATAACGTATCCTCTAGGACTTATTATGATATGATAATTATTTTTGTTATTTTTGTGGTTTAATTTGATTCGTGAATAATGTAATTGTTTTATTTTCCGTATTCTATCTACTGTGTAACTCATTAAAAAAACAAATATCATACCTATTATGATAACCAGGACCGAAATAAGAGACATAATAAAGTACTGAAGCAAAACTATATCTGTAGAAAAGAAGGTCTCAAATTGTGCTTACAATCAAACTAACTTAAGGAATGTAGCTGCCATGTGACCATCTCTGCATGTGACCAGGCATGTGACCAGTCATGTGACCAGTATATAATAGTATTAATAGTATTACAGTTATAGTAACACATGGTAGGATTACTGGGAAACAAAGTTAACCTCTCCCCTTCTGAAGCCATTATATCAGGTCGGTACTTTCTTCAGAATTAATGAAATTCGTTGTTCTAGAAATATAGGAAATGTTAGTTTAAAAAGAAATAATATTTAGTTTTTGTTTGAAGATTAACACTATAAATACACTATAAATACACTATAAATACATTATAAATACAATATAAATACACTGTAAATACACTAAGATTAACACTGGGTCAGGAGCGTTAAGTGGTGTAACTACCCGGGCAGTTATCTCTCCTTTTGATGTTGTTAAGATACGATTACAACTCCATGTTGGAAAGGTACTAACCCGCTACAATGGTTATATTATTATGTTGTGTTAAAGATAGTATGATAGTTAATAATAATCGTTACAAAATTGTTTAAGTGAAACATTATCATAGATGCAGTCTTCAGGGGTTTGTTTGATTTTACATAATTAATGTTAATTAAAAAACATATTTACATAAATTAGGAAATCTTTCCATTACAATCCATTTCAAACATAATAACTTCCGTTCATTATTTTGTAATAATAATATTGTTAAAACTTCTAGAAGCAGGGGGGAAGGAACACGGGACTGGTAAATGCTGTGTCCACCATCTTCCGAGAAGAGGGAGTCCGGGCATTCTGGTTAGTTCAACTTTATTTTAATATTCTGGTTAGTTCAACTTTATTTTAATATTCTGGTTAGTTCAACTTTATTTTAATATTCTGGTTAGTTCAACTTTATTTTAATATTCTGGTTAGTTCAACTTTATTTTTAATATTCTGGTTAGTTCAACTTTATTTTAGTATTCTGGTTAGTTCAACTTTATTTTAATATTCTGGTTAGTTCAACTTTATTTTAATATTCTGGTTAGTTCAACTTTATTTTTAATATTCTGGTAAGTTCAACTTTGTTTTTAATATTCTGGTTAGTTCAACTTTATTTTTAATATTCTGGTTCGTTCAACTTTATTTTTAATGTTCTGGTTAGTTCAACTTTATTTTTAATATTATGCACTGGTTAGTTCAACTTTATTTTTGATATTCTGCACTGGTTAGTTCAACTTTATTTTTAATATTCTGGTTAGTTCAACTTTGTTTTTAATATTCTGGTTAGTTCAACTTTATTTTTAATATTCTGGTTCGTTCAACTTTATTTTTAATGTTCTGGTTAGTTCAACTTTATTTTTAATATTATGCACTGGTTAGTTCAACTTTATTTTTGATATTCTGCACTGGTTAGTTCAACTTTATTTTTAATATTCTGGTTAGTTCAACTTTATTTTGATGAACAGTGAACACGTCTAATGTATAATATTGCTGAACTATTCATCATATCGTTGACGTCAGTACTACGACAGAACTGTTAAATTACAGATCTCTCTTATTTTTGAATTTATATTTGTTCAATCAAAACAGTCAAACTTGGTTAATTCCATTGCAGCAATCTTTTCGAAACTATATTATATATAAAGAGGATGGTAATAAGACCGCATCACAATTCTGTCGACATATTATATAGTTAGAAGAGTTACCCCATAAAGTAAACACCCTACCCCTTAAAGTAAACACCCTACCCCTTAAAGTAAACACCTTACCCCTTAAAGTAAACACCCTACCCCTTATAGTAAACACCCTACCCCTTAAAGTAAACACCCTACCCCTTAAAGTAAACACCCTACCCCTTAAAGTAAACACCCTACCCCTTAAAGTAAACACCCTACCCCTTAAAGTAAACACCCTACCCCTTAAAGTAAACACCCTACCCCTTAAAGTAAACACCCTACCCCTTAAAGTAAACACCCTACCCCTTAAAGTAAACACCCTACCCCTTAAAGTAAACACCCTACCCCTTATAGTAAACACCCTACCCCTTAAAGTAAACACCCTACCCCTTAAAGTAAACACCCTACCCCTTAAAGTAAACACCCTACCCCTTAAAGTAAACACCCTACCCCTTAAAGTAAACACCCTACCCCTTAAAGTAAACACCCTACCCCTTAAAGAAAACACCCTACGCCTTAAAGTAAACACCCTACCCCTTAAAGTAAACACCCTACCCCTTAAAGTAAACACCTTACCCCTTAAAGTAAACACCCTACCCCTTAAAGTAAACACCTTACCCCTTAAAGTAAACACCCTACCCCTTAAAGTAAACACCCTACCCCTTAAAGTAAACACCCTACCCCTTAAAGTAAACACCCTACCCCTTAAAGTAAACATCCTAGCCCTTAAAGTAAACACTCTACCCCTTAAAGTAAACACCCTACCCCTTAAAGTAAACACCCTACCCCTTAAAGTAAACACCCTACCCCTTAAAGTAAACACCCTACCCCTTAAAGTAAACACCCTACCCCTTAAAGTAAACACCTTACCCCTTAAAGTAAACACCTTACCCCTTAAAGTAAACACCCTACCCCTTAAAGTAAACACCCTACCCATAAAGTAAACATCCTAGCCCTTAAAGTAAACACCCTACCCCTTAAAGTAAACACCCTACCCCTTAATTAAAGTAACACCCTACCCCTTAAAGTAAACACCCTACCCCTTAAAGTAAACACCTTACCCCTTAAAGTAAACACCCTACCCCTTAAAGTAAACACCCTACCCCTTAAAGTAAACACCCTACCCCTTATAGTAAACACCCTACCCCTTAAAGTAAACACCCTACCCCTTAAAGTAAACACCCTACCCCTTAAAGTAAACACCCTACCCCTTAAAGTAAACACCCTACCCCTTAAAGTAAACACCCTACCCCTTATAGTAAACACCCTACCCCTTAAAGTAAACACTCTACCCCTTAAAGTAAACACCCTACCCCTTAAAGTAAACACCCTACCCCTTAAAGTAAACACCCTACCCCTTAAAGTAAACACCCTACCCCTTAAAGTAAACACCCTACCCCTTAAAGTAAACACCCTACCCCTTAAAGTAAACACCCTACCCCTTAAAGTAAACACCCTACCCCTTAAAGTAAACACCCTACCCCTTATAGTAAACACCCTACCCCTTAAAGTAAACACCCTACCCCTTAAAGTAAACACCCTACCCCTTAAAGTAAACACCCTACCCCTTAAAGTAAACACCCTACCCCTTAAAGTAAACACCCTACCCCTTAAAGTAAACACCCTACCCCTTAAAGTAAACACCCTACCCCTTAAAGAAAACACCCTACGCCTTAAAGTAAACACCCTACCCCTTAAAGTAAACACCCTACCCCTTAAAGTAAACACCCTACCCCTTAATTAAAGTAACACCCTACCCCTTAAAGTAAACACCCTACCCCTTAAAGTAAACACCTTACCCCTTAAAGTAAACACCCTACCCCTTAAAGTAAACACCCTACCCCTTAATTAAAGTAACACCCTACCCCTTAAAGTAAACACCCTACCCCTTAAAGTAAACACCTTACCCCTTAAAGTAAACACCTTACCCCTTAAAGTAAACACCTTACCCCTTAAAGTAAACACTTTTCCCCTTAAAGTAAACACCCTGCCCCTTAAAGTAAACACCCTACCCCTTAAAGTAAACACTTTTCCCCTTAAAGTAAACACCCTGCCCCTTAAAGTAAACACTCTACCCCTTAAAGTAAACACCCTACCCCTTAAAGTAAACACCCTACCCCTTAAAGTAAACACCCTACCCCTTAAAGTAAACACCCTACCCCTTAAAGTAAACACCCTACCCCTTAAAGTAAACACCTTACCCCTTAAAGTAAACACCTTACCCCTTAAAGTAAACACCCTACCCCTTAAAGTAAACACCCTACCCCTTAAAGTAAACATCCTAGCCCTTAAAGTAAACACCCTACCCCTTAAAGTAAACACCCTACCCCTTAATTAAAGTAACACCGTACCCCTTAAAGTAAACACCCTACCCCTTAAAGTAAACACCCTACCCCTTAAAGTAAACACCCTACCCCTTAAAGTAAACACCCTACCACTTAAAGTAAACACCCTACCCCTTAAAGTAAACACCCTACCCCTTAAAGTAAACACCCTACCCCTTAAAGTAAACATCCTAGCCCTTAAAGTAAACACCCTACCCCTTAAAGTAAACACCTTACCCCTTAAAGTAAACACCCTACCCCTTAAAGTAAACACCCTACCCCTTAAAGTAAACACCCTACCCCTTAAAGTAAACACCCTACCCCTTAAAGTAAACACCCTACCCCTTAAAGTAAACACCCTACCCCTTAAAGTAAACACCCTACCCCTTAAAGTAAACATCCTAGCCCTTAAAGTAAACACCTTACCCCTTAAAGTAAACACCCTACCCCTTAAAGTAAACACCCTACCCCTTAAAGTAAACACCCTACCCCTTAAAGTAAACACCTTACCCCAGAAAGTAAACACCCTACCCCTTAAAGTAAACACCCTACCCCTCAAAGTAAACACCCTAACAGGAAAGGGCACACCGCCTCCCAGCTACTATCAGTAGTGTACGGAGCTGTACAGTTCGGAATGTTCACTAAAGTTAGTCACGTGATAGAGGAACTCTATCCTGGCCGCTCTCCTGATACTCAACCTCTTGTTAGGTAGGTGAACACTAAACATAATATTTTAAGACCACATTTGTTTAGTCATGTCTGATAAGAAAGTTAGGTTAACAAGTTATTTGTTTCAGTTTTGTATCAGGAGGAGTAGCGGGGATGTAGTGTATTTATAGTGTATTTATAGTGTATTTGTTTCAGTTTTGTATCAGGAGGAGTAGCGGGGATGTAGTGTATTTATAGTGTATTTGTTTCAGTTTTGTATCAGGAGGAGTAGCGGGGATGTAGTGTATTTATAGTGTATTTATAGTGTATTTGTTTCAGTTTTGTATCAGGAGGAGTAGCGGGGATGTAGTGTATTTATAGTGTATTTGTTTCAGTTTTGTATCAGGAGGAGTAGCGGGGATGTAGTGTATTTATAGTGTATTTGTTTCAGTTTTGTATCAGGAGGAGTAGCGGGGATGTAGTGTATTTATAGTGTATTTGTTTCAGTTTTGTATCAGGAGGAGTAGCGGGGATGTAGTGTATTTATAGTGTATTTGTTTCAGTTTTGTATCAGGAGGAGTAGCGGGGATGTAGTGTATTTATAGTGTATTTATAGTGTATTTGTTTCAGTTTTGTATCAGGAGGAGTAGCGGGGATGTAGTGTATTTATAGTGTATTTGTTTCAGTTTTGTATCAGGAGGAGTAGCGGGGATGTAGTGTATTTATAGTGTATTTGTTTCAGTTTTGTATCAGGAGGAGTAGCGGGGATGTAGTGTATTTATAGTGTATTTGTTTCAGTTTTGTATCAGGAGGAGTAGCGGGGATGTAGTGTATTTATAGTGTATTTGTTTCAGTTTTGTATCAGGAGGAGTAGCGGGGATGTAGTGTATTTATAGTGTATTTGTTTCAGTTTTGTATCAGGAGGAGTAGCGGGGATGTAGTGTATTTATAGTGTATTTGTTTCAGTTTTGTATCAGGAGGAGTAGCGGGGATGTAGTGTATTTATAGTGTATTTGTTTCAGTTTTGTATCAGGAGGAGTAGCGGGGACGTAGTGTATTTATAGTGTATTTGTTTCAGTTTTGTATCAGGAGGAGTAGCGGGGACGTAGTGTATTTATAGTGTATTTGTTTCAGTTTTGTATCAGGAGGAGTAGCGGGGATGTAGTGTATTTATAGTGTATTTGTTTCAGTTTTGTATCAGGAGGAGTAGCGGGGATGTAGTGTATTTATAGTGTATTTGTTTCAGTTTTGTATCAGGAGGAGTAGCGGGGACGTAGTGTATTTATAGTGTATTTGTTTCAGTTTTGTATCAGGAGGAGTAGCGGGGACGGCGGGTAGCTTCTTCTCGCAGCCTCTTGACTTAGTGAGAACGAGAATGGTTATGCAGCGCCACCAACTTGTAAGTGAAGCGCTTTCCTAGTCCTTTAATTATTGTAATACATAACATTTATTATAATTTAATATTTGAAGTAATTATTACTGTCAGTTTTTATCCATATTTTGAAACAGTCTGAGTAAACAGAGTATAGAATTGTCATTTGAATATTCCAACCATTATTTACTTATTTATTTAACCAAACCTACCCACCTTTGCAGACGTACACGAGTACAGGGGAAGCATTTCTCAGTATCCTCCAGAAGGAGGGATTTAGAGGTTTCTACAGAGGTTTAATACCTAATCTCCTGCAAGTGGTACCTAGTGCTTCCCTACAGTTCGGGGCTTATAGTTCTTGTATACTCCTCTATACCAAGTAAATACACTATAAATACACTATAAATACACTATAAATACACTATAAATACACTATAAATACACTATAAGATTTAGAGGTTTCTACAGAGGTTTAATACCTAATCTCCTGCAAGTGGTACCTAGTGCTTCCCTACAGTTCGGGGCTTATAGTTCTTGTATACTACTCTACACCAAGTAAATACACTATAAATACACTATAAATACACTATAAGATTTAGAGGTTTCTACAGAGGTTTAATACCTAATCTCCTGCAAGTGGTTCCCAGTGCTTCCCTACAGTTCGGGGCTTATAGTTCTTGTATACTACTCTACACCAAGTAAATACACTATAAATACACTATAAATACACTATAAGATTAAGAGGCTTCTACAGAGGTTTAATACCTAATCTCCTGCAAGTGGTTCCCAGTGCATCTCTACAGTTCGGGGCTTATAGTTCTTGTATACTCCTCTATACCAAGTAAATACATTATAAATACACTATAAATACACTATAAATACACTATAAATACACTATAAATACACTATAAATACACTATAAATACACTATAAATACACTATAAATACACTATAAATACACTATAAATACACTATAAATACACTATAAGATTTAGAGGCTTCTACAGAGGTTTAATACCTAATCTCCTGCAAGTGGTTCCCAGTGCTTCCCTACAGTTCGGGGCTTATAGTTCTTGTATACTCCTCTACACCAAGTAAATACACTATAAATACACTATAAATACACTATAAATACACTATAAATACACTATAAATACACTATAAATACACTATAAATACACTATAAGATTTAGAGGTTTCTACAGAGGGTTAATACCTAATCTCCTGCAAGTGGTTCCCAGTGCTTCTCTACAGTTCGGGGCTTATAGTTCTTGTATACTACTCTATACCAAGTAAATACACTATAAATACACTATAAATACACTATAAATACACTATAAGATTTAGAGGCTTCTACAGAGGTTTAATACCTAATCTCCTGCAAGTGGTACCCAGTGCTTCTCTACAGTTCGGGGCTTATAGTTCTTGTATACTCCTCTATACCAAGTAAATACACTATAAATACACTATAAATACACTATAAATACACTATAAGATTTAGAGGCTTCTACAGAGGTTTAATACCTAATCTCCTGCAAGTGGTACCCAGTGCTTCTCTACAGTTCGGGGCTTATAGTTCTTGTATACTACTCTATACCAAGTAAATACACTATAACTACACTATAAATACACCAAGTAAATACACTATAAATAGTAAATACACTGTAAGATTTAGAGGTTTCTACAGAGGTTTAATACCTAATCTCCTGCAAGTGGTTCCCAGTGCGTCTCTACAGTTCGGGGCTTATAGTTCTTGTATACTACTCTACACCAAGTAAATACACTATAAATACACTATAAATACACTATAAATACACTATAAATACACTATAAATACACTATAAGATTTAGAGGCTTCTACAGAGGTTTAATACCTAATCTCCTGCAAGTGGTACCCAGTGCTTCTCTACAGTTCGGGGCTTATAGTTCTTGTATACTACTCTACACCAAGTAAATACACTATAAATACACTATAAATACACTATAAATACACTATAAATACACTATAAGATTTAGAGGCTTCTACAGAGGTTTAATACCTAATCTCCTGCAAGTGGTACCCAGTGCTTCTCTACAGTTCGGGGCTTATAGTTCTTGTATACTACTCTATACCAAGTAAATACACTATAACTACACTATAAATACACCAAGTAAATACACTATAAATAGTAAATACACTGTAAGATTTAGAGGTTTCTACAGAGGTTTAATACCTAATCTCCTGCAAGTGGTTCCCAGTGCGTCTCTACAGTTCGGGGCTTATAGTTCTTGTATACTACTCTACACCAAGTAAATACACTATAAATACACTATAAATACACTATAAATACACTATAAATACACTATAAATACACTATAAGATTTAGAGGCTTCTACAGAGGTTTAATACCTAATCTCCTGCAAGTGGTTCCCAGTGCTTCTCTACAGTTCGGGGCTTATAGTTCTTGTATACTACTCTACACCAAGTAAATACACTATAAATACACTATAAATACACTATAAATACACTATAAATACACTATAAATACACTATAAATACACTATAAATACACTATAAATACACTATAAGATTTAGAGGCTTCTACAGAGGTTTAATACCTAATCTCCTGCAAGTGGTACCCAGTGCTTCTCTACAGTTCGGGGCTTATAGTTCTTGTATACTACTCTACACCAAGTAAATACACTATAAATACACTATAAATACACTATAAATACACTATAAATACACTATAAATACACTATAAGATTTAGAGGCTTCTACAGAGGTTTAATACCTAATCTCCTGCAAGTGGTACCCAGTGCTTCTCTACAGTTCGGGGCTTATAGTTCTTGTATACTACTCTACACCAAGTAAATACACTATAAATACACTATAGATACACTATAAATACACTATAAATACACTATAAATACACTATAAGTACACTATAAATACACTATGAATACACTATAAATACACTATAAATGCACTATAAGATTTAGAGGTTTCTACAGAGGTTTAATACCTAATCTCCTGCAAGTGGTACCCAGTGCTTCTCTACAGTTCGGGGCTTATAGTTCTTGTATACTACTCTACACCAAGTAAATACACTATAAATACACTATAAATACACTATAAATACACTATAAATACACTATAAATACACTATAAGATTTAGAGGTTTCTACAGAGGTTTAATACCTAATCTCCTGCAAGTGGTACCCAGTGCTTCTCTACAGTTCGGGGCTTATAGTTCTTGTATACTCCTCTATACCAAGTAAATACACTATAAATACACTATAGATACACTATAAATACACTATAAATACACTATAAATACACTATAAGTACACTATAAATACACTATGAATACACTATAAATACACTATAAATGCACTATAAGTACACTATAAGTACATCATACATACACTATAAGTACATTATAAATACACTAAAAACCTCTCAAGGATCTTAAGTTTTATTTTCAGTTTAAAATATAATCTTAAAGTTAGTACCTTCACCTTGACATCCTGTACAGGGTAACTAGTGTACATATTATGGTAACTATGGTAACTAGTAGTGTAACTATGCTAACTGTACAGGGTAACTAGTGTAACTATGGTAACTAGTAGTGTTGTAACTATGGTAACTGTACAGGGTAACTAGTGTAACTAGTGTAACTATGGTAACTAGTGTTGTACTAACTATAATGGTAACTGTACAGGGTGCAAGCTATAGAAAAGGAGCGTTTATCAAACAAAGAGAGTTTCCTTTTTGTGTAACTAGTAGTGTAACTATGGTAACTAGTGTTGTAACTATGGTAACTGTACAGGGTAACTAGTGTAACTATGGTAACTAGTGTTGTAACTATGGTAACTGTACAGGGTGCAAGCTATAGAAAAGGAGCGTTTATCGAACAAGGAGAGTTTCCTTTTTGTGTAACTAGTGTTGTAACTATGGTAACTGTACAGGGTGCAAGCTATCGAAAAGGAGCGTTTATCGAACAAAGAGAGTTTCCTTTTTGGAGCAGTTTCTGGTGTGTTCGCCAAGTGTGCAGTCCTTCCCTTTGACGTTACCAAGAAACGATTACAGGTAACTAGTAGTGTTGTAAAGGTGTTGTAACTATGGTAACTAGTAGTGAATAAAAGTCGTGATTCAAGGTGATGTAATGTTGGGACAATGCACTGACTTTTAGAAATGAGCTGATAATAATGATATTACTATTATTAATAATATAGTTATAATATGTATATATAATATATATAACGATAGTCTGGTTATCTTGATGATATCATTTACACTTTCACATTTATTTTGAATTACATGATTATTTTGAAAATTGCTTATATTATTTATTAAATCTGTTTGAAAGCCCTTATGGTGGCCCTCAATTAGTCAAGTCTTTCAATTAACACTACTAAAATGTCCAACTTGTTGAGGTACAAGGATTTAGAAAGGTGATACAGGAGGGAGGGTTAGAAAGTAACTATGGTGTAACTATAGTAACTAGTAGTGTTGTAACTATGGTAACTGTACAGGTACAAGGATTTAGAAAGGTGATACAAGAGGGAGGGTTAGAAAGTGTACCAGTTTACAAGGGACTTGTTCATTGTGTTACAACAGTGTACAAACACGAGGGTATACTCGGCTTCTACAAGGGTGCTTTGCCTAGCTTACTAAAGGTCAGATGTTTACCCTGATATCTTCAGAACTTGTAGATTAATGGGGATTTGTATCTTATTTTGTTATTATTTGTTATATTGAGTGCTTGGTTATAATAAGTTATAAAATAATCTGATAATGAACCACCTTAGCTTCGGTAAAAGATTTATTGTTAAGTATTTAGCTTCCGACTATTAACAAGAATTTCGCCGCGGTTAAACCACGCACGATCAATTTTCCCTACCATGTACTTGTACCATTAATTCTTTTGAGTGAAAAGTGTGACTGGAAAAAAGAGCACCATATTTACATACTGTGTTTTTTATAAATGAGTGGGATTCGTGCATGGTAAAAATTGACGATTTATTTGACCAATGCAGCGCCGCGCATGAACAATAAATGAATCCAGAAAATTGCGGAAAATAACTTTGCGAAGGAGGAATTTCACATTCGCTTCCTATACACTTAATTATAGGGGAGTGGTCTATATTTCGAAGGAGCAGACTTTTGTCATCATCGCAGGTCCATCGGGCCACCTCATATATCCAAACCCGATTACTTATTCCCTACGAACTTTTTGCCTTCGGCAAGAGTAGGGAAAAAAATTACTAGTACATTTAACTAATTATATATTTTAACTTTATAGCTAAATGTGTCATATAGTTCAAAGTGTATTATATAATACAACTATTACACTATAATATAACGTTATAAATAATGTGTTATTTCAGGCATTTGTCTCTACTGGTACCACCTTTATAATATGTTATTTCAGGCATTTGTCTCCACTGGTACCACCTTTATGACGTTATAAATAATGTGTTATTTCAGGCGTTTGTCTCTACTGGTACCACCTTTATAATACGTTATTTCAGGCATTTGTCTCTACTGGTACCACCTTTATGACGTTATAAATAATGTGTTATTTCAGGCGTTTGTCTCTACTGGTACCACCTTTATGACGTTCAACTTCTTTTCTGGGCTTGTCACAGCCTCCAGGACATACAGAAACGGTCTGAGCTAATTAGTATACTTGATAGGGACTTTGGTAGGAAACTAGTTTATTTATTATCAACTAAAAATTACGAGAAACTAAAATGACAGTTCATTACTTAAATTAATCATACACAACAACATCCCTAGCTGAAGACGAATTACATAATATGTATTGTGAAAGCTCCTGCTAAAACAAACTTTTCGTATCTCTCTTATATGTTTAAACAAATCCCACTTCATGCTCCTTCATAATATTTACTATCATAATATTTACTATCACGTGTTTACTACCCCTTTCATGATTCATTACCTTATATTTGCGTACTCTTTTTTGTTACCCGGTTGGAAATTTAATTTATAGCTAAAATAGCTAAAAATAGGACCGAAAGTTTATTTTATCTTTTTTATTGTGACTGTGTTTGTACTAGTATTTTGATCTAAATTATTATAAGAAATGAAATATTCGCATATCAGTCAGGTTAGGGGAAAGGTTTTGGAAAAGCTAACAGTAACTTATACTCAATAGCTATGACGTATAAAATGGTTTACGAAGGGCTGAGGGAGAGGTTCTAAAATAGTAAACATCTGGCTTGATTAATATGTTTACATTATCATAAGATATGCGAATGATTCATGATAAGTTTTGTTAATTTATTTCTAGGAGAAGTTTATTTTAAATATTAACCGTGAAAGTTTGTTTTCAGTAAGTGATGTTTTGATTTAAGTGTTAACCCATAATTTGTGTGCTTCAATGCTTAATAATGTACGGACAAACACATAAACTAGATTCCTGACGGCAAACCATGTAGCAACCACGTCACTAGTTTGAAACAGCAAATCTATTACATTTATTGAGATGATACTCCCTTGTGAGCCGGAACTAGTCACAAGCCGCACGAGATACTAATATTATGTCGTTTTCATGTCTGACTATCATCAACCGTTTTTGCAGCCTGGGTTTAACAATATAATGAACAAAATAAATCCTTGTGTTGAATAACGATAATTAGTTAATAAGTTATTTAGTTAATAAGTTATTTAGTTAATAAGTTATTTAGTTAATAAGTTCATTACTTAATTAGTTAATTAGTTAATTAGTTAATTAGTTATTTAGTTAATTAGTTAGTAAGTTCATTACTTAATTAGTTAACTAGTTAATTAGTAGTGATGATATGAACCATACGTATGTTGATGTGGAGGTACACAACAAACCCAGGGTCTCCATACACGGCTCACTTCCCCGCTCATTATCATGTGACTTGATAGAGGGCTTCCTGAGTGAGGTGTGTGAAAACAGCTCTGATATCTTTACCCTGATACGGGTAAGTAGAATTAGTTAATTAGTTAATTAGTTAATTAGTTAATAAGTAAATTAGTATAGTATTTAATTAGTTAATTAGTATATTAGTTAATTAGTTAATTAGTTAATTAGTTAATTAGTTAATTAGTTAATTAGTTAATTAGTTAATAAGTAAATTAGTATAGTATTTAATTAGTTAATTAGTATATTAGTTAATTAGTTAATTAGTTAATTAACTCTGAACTAGACCTGAAAGACGCCCACCAGGAAGGAGATACAGTGCTACTCGGAGAGTTCGAGGTGTCCTTATCAGCTGAAGATATTATTAAAATAAAGTCCCATGATCAGCAGGTCTTCTACCTCAGCTTCGGGTAATTCTTGTTAATTAGTTAATTAATTAATAAGTTAATAAGCTGTACCCTTGACTAAGGTTTTTTTTTTCTGGGTGCCAGCGGGGTCCAGGGGCGGAGCCCCTTGGCGGGGGCTAGGGGGGCGCAGCCCCCCGGAAATTTTTTGCGAAATAGGGTGTTTTAGACGACATTTGGGGGGGGGGGGGGGGGGGGGGGGGGGGGTGTAACCCAAAAAAACCCAAAAAAACCCAATCCCAGTATGACCTTTTTCAGGGTAGAGTTGGGTTTTTTGGGTTTTTTACAAATTTTTCATTTGAAGGAAATAAAATCATGTAGGCACCTAGCAAAACAATTATCAGTACAACATCACTGTTGTGGTTCATCACTACAACATCACAATAGATATAATCGCTTAAATATCACCCAAAAGCAGTATTTTATTCACTGATGTGCTCAGAAGAAGTTGGCCATGCAGATATGATATCAGCCATATGTAATGCTCACTTCGATGGCCATGGCAAATTGAGTTAGTAGGGACGCAACTCACTGATGACCCCAACCCTGACCGCAACCGGTACGAGAGGAATAAAGCCTTTCTTCTCACCTTCACGATCTCTGTTTCCGTTTTCCTGATCATCCGCTTAACGAGAAACCATGCTCTATCTCCAACTGAAAGAATCTTGCAGTTACCATCAGCTGCATGATCACATGTGATATTAAGTGATATCTTCGCTTGTTTATGGCCATGGAGTCGCTAAAATCTTGACTGGGATGGCATTCGATCTCGCCCTCTATTGAGGCAAACCTCAACAGCCGTATCATGATGCAGAGCATCACCATACACAGTTACTATTTTCGCCCATTCCTCTGATGAGTCAATATCCTCCACTTCCTCTTCTTCATCATCTGTTTCCGCTTCGTCACTCTCTGTTCCGTCAGAAGATGGTTGGAAAGCCTCTCCTTCAAAGTTACAGTGTTCTTGAAGGAGCTCTCTACCCCTTGAGACTCCCTTCTTCATAGCTTGTAACAATCTTGGGATTGAAGTATCTTTACCTCTAAATAGTTTCTCTGCTTTCGGATGCGGTATAACAAGCTTGTTGCGAGAGTGGGCAACTGTTACAGGGATCAAACTTTTGCCGAGTGCATCAAGCTCGAGGGAACGGTTTGATTTGCCCATGCCAACCAACATATCCTTAGAACACAGACGGACATGCCTTAGAAGAAGTTGAGGATTTTAGTACAACGGAGCACAACTTTAGGTTACGCAAGGCCAATGCATGGGCTACCTACCACAAATGTAGGCTATATGGAGGTCCAATTTGCGCCGAGATTAAAAGATCCGTCTGTTCAAGCTACGGTTGAATCAATCTTCCTGTATGGAACGCAAACGTGGACAATAACAGAATCTTTGAAGAAACGAATAGACGGATGTTACAGTAGAATGCTTCGGATGGCCCTAAACGTGGACTGGAGAGAACATCGCACCAACAAGGAGGTCTTTGGATCACTCCCAAGAGTTATTTCGAAGATACAGGCCAGAAGAATGAGGTTAGCTGGGCACATCCAGCGACATGATGACCTGGCAGCACACCAACTTCTCCTTTGGGAACCTAGGGAGGGGCAGACCACCGCTCACCTTCGTCGATAACCTAATAAATGACACTGGACTCAAGAACACTGGGGAGATTAAGGAGCTTATGGCGGAGAGAAAGCTTTGGAGACACATCATCGAGACTCGGACTCTGAAGCCGACTTAAGTCAAGTAATTTAAGTTATGTGCTTTGACTTGCCCTTGACCTTCGTCATAGCTTCCTTCCATGACAGGAGAACACATTTGCCACATTTGGCACATTTCCACTTTGTGCATTCATATGGATTATATCTCGATGAACGAGACATCCTGTTTGCTATCGTGATAACATACTATCAAGTATCAATATAAACACACTTATATACTATGTAAACTATCTATTAAGTTAAGACATGAGAAAAACACGTAGGTAAGACTCAGTGGGAAATAATTCACATTCAATACAATTAATGAAATGGCTAGAATTTTGTTTAAATTTTGTTTAAAAAACCCAAAAAAACCCAAAAAAAACCCAATCCCAGTATTACCTTTTCTTGGGTAGGAGTTGGGTTTTTTTGGGTTACACCCCCCCCCCCCCCCCCATTTGGCATTAAAGAAATTTGCAGGACAGCAATAAACTGGGATTGAAAAGAATCAAGTACTCACGTAAATTTGGTAACTTCACAACAGCAATCTGCATTCTCCAATCAGAATATTTCACTGTGTTCCAAAACTGACAGGATGTTCCTCTTTGATTTTTATACTTGAATCGAAAAGTTTTCTTCAAAAATTTCCTCAATTAATTTGTCTTTATTCCAAAAAAATATTTCGAAATTTAGGAGTAACTTCTCAAAAATATCCTATTTTTCCTCCCGTTTTTTCCTTAACAACAACAGACCCACTATCAATATCAACAGGCCCACTCTTTCATCTTACAGACCTACAAGTCAATTTACAGACCCATTTCAGAGTAGCAAAGACCCACTATTAAGGGAGTAGACACACAGTTGATAACAACAGACCCACTATCAATATCAACAGGCCCACTATTTCATCTTACAGACCTACAAGTCAATTTACAGACCCATTTCAGAGTAGCAAAGACCCACTATTAAGAGAGTAGACACACAGTTGATAACAACAGACCCACTATCAATATCAACAGACCCACTATTTAGTATTTCATCTTACAGACCTACAAGTCAATTTACAGACCCATTTCAGAGTAGCAAAGACCCACTATTAAGAGAGTAGACACACAGTTGATAACAACAGACCCACTATCAATATCAACAGGCCCACTATTTCATCTTACAGACCTACAAGTCAATTTACAGACCCATTTCAGAGTAGCAAAGACCCACTATTAAGAGAGTAGACACACAGTTGATAACAACAGACCCACTATCAATATCAACAGACCCACTATTTCATCTTACAGACCTACAAGTCAATTTACAGACCCATTTCAGAGTAGCAAAGACCCACTATTAAGAGAGTAGACACACAGTTGATAACAACAGACCCACTATCAATATCAACAGGCCCACTATTTCATCTTACAGACCCACAAGTCAATTTACAGACCCATTTCAGAGTAGCAAAGACCCACTATTAAGGGAGTAGACACACAGTTGATAACAACAGACCCACTATCAATATCAACAGACCCACTATTTCATCTTTCAGACCCACAAGTCAATCCACAGACCCATTTCAGAGTAGCAAAGACCCACTATTAAGCGAGTAGACACACACTTAATAACAACAGACCCACTATCAATATCAACAGACCCACTATTTCATCTTACAGACCTACAAGTCAATTTACAGACCCATTTCAGAGTAGCAAAGACCCACTATTAAGGGAGTAGACACACAGTTGATAACAACAGACCCACTATCAATATCAACAGGCCCACTATTTCATCTTACAGACCTACAAGTCAATTTACAGACCCATTTCAGAGTAGCAAAGACCCACTATTAAGAGAGTAGACACACAGTTGATAACAACAGACCCACTATCAATATCAACAGACCCACTATTCCACCTTATAGACCCATGTAAGTAAGTCTACACTGTAATAAAACACATCCAAGCTATCAACAGGCCCACTATTTGAGCATGTACAGACCCTCATTAACCATGGTCATTTCAATCCTAACCTCACCAGTCACCCCCCCCCCCCCCCCCCCCCCCCCCCCCCCCCACCCCCCCCCCCCCAAGAAAATATGTTTTTTTTTCGTTTCAGACAATTTTAATTTTTCGATGAAAAAATTTGAGGCAAGGGTGCTGGCACCCTTGGCACCCTACAAAAAAAAACCTTACCCTTGACTACCACGCTATTTGGTGATCTGTGAAGGCTCATGTTGTATTTCAACCAGTTCTAACCACCCTTAAAATAGTCTGATATAATATGTCGGTTCAAATCGTTCTTAGTTTCAATCTGTTTCAGGAATAAGTGAATATAACTGAGTCCCACCAGAAATTAAGCTCTATTAAAGTTACCATAGTTACACCACTAGTTACCATAGTTACACTACTTTCAGAGGGTTATGTGAATTATGTAGAAGACAGGAAGCTCTGTTAAAACTAGCTGTTACTGAGAGGTTAGAGTTGGGGGTTGTGGAGTTCTCTTCTAATACATCTTCAGGTGGGGTAATTAGTTAATTAGTTAATTAGTTAATTAGTTAAATGGGTATATAGTTAATTGATTAATCAATTAATTAGTTTATCAGTTCATCAGTAAGTCAGCTTATAAATACTTAGTTACTAGGTTAATTAGTTAATTAGTTAATTAGTTAATTAATTAATTGGTTAATTAGTTAATAAACTACCCAGGTAGCGGCTACTTCACCCCTGATACCGGATCTCAACTCAGTGACTCAGAGTTCACTGGACATGCCTACCAAAACATAGAGGAGCCATTTGAAATGCTGGATATCCAGGATAGTGGTACATTATTTAATGTTCAGTGTTCACTGCTTGGTCACATGTACCATAAGGGTTTAATAATAATTAATAATAATGATGGCAATGAAGCGGAACTACATAGTACATATATATTATATATGTATCATGTGCTATTTAAAAAGATACAGTTAATGACACTAATGACGGGGGGAGGGAGGGGGGGGGGGGCAATGGCATAAAATGCCCCCCCCCCCCCACTAATGACAGTGAAATGCAAGCACAATGATACACAGCTGATATTATTATATAAGATAGTTATCTTTGTGTCGTCTCTTTTTTACATCGTCGACGTTTACTTTTAACATGTTTTCTTTATATATAATATGATTTTCTAGCTGAGTTAAGTGTTCAGTGCTAGTGTCTGCTTTTATGTCAGTGTTAGTTTTCAGTGTAAGTTTTAATTCTTATTTTTCAGTGTTGGACAACACAGTACTACTCTAGTTTTCTTAGGGTTTGGTATGATAATGCAGGATGTAGATACGTATAACGAGCTAGGCAGAAGAGACTCTCAGTTTCAAGCCATGGAGGTAGATACCAGAGAGGAGGGTTTCAGAGAGGAGGGTTTCTCCACTGGGGGTGACATGTTTGAAATACCTTCAACATTCCAGCACCAACCTTCTTCTCCTACCATACTAGACTACAGGTGATTAGTGTTAAGTACCTCGTTTTTTATTTGATTTGCTTTTTGAAACTTTTACAAATAGTACATAATATACAAAGATACAATACAGCAAAGAGAATGAGAAATAAACGACATCGTGAGGCATTATGTTGTGTAAAAGTCGTACTAGACCATATTGTAGAAATACTAAAAGCATGGGTAACTGGGTAGTGGGTAAGTGGTACAAGTTCTGGGGGTACCTCAGAGTACCTCTTTAAGACGTGTCCCTCAAAGTAACTTAAACAATTTCTGTTAGCAAATTATTCTGATGATTTACCGTTTATCAAGCTTCTTTAGGAATAGAACTTTGAATACCTCAATCTTGTCTTGTGCCATCCTTAATGACCTTTAAGATGACCTTGTAAGATGGTCATTCAAGAAAAATTCAGTCAAAAATGATACAACCTATTTATACCTTTATGCCTAATCTGAACGGGATGATATTACTGATTACAAAATAAAACACAGAATTATAATAAATTAAACTGAAATAGTTTGTGTTAATAAATTAACAGTTAGTTAAATAATTCACTCAACTAACCTCTCTCACTAACCTCCCCAGACCTTGTACCCGATTCCAACTATAAACTAACTAAAACTACTACACTAAAATATCACTAAATAATACCCGAACTATTAAAAGTCTTTTCTTCCTAAGATATAATACTAATTAAAACTATGATTATAAACATAAATACACTCCATTCTTCTTCTAGGTTACTCTCTCCTATTTAATTGTTGTGATCCTTCTAGTTGTCTCCTATGTATTCTCTCCAATTCACTTACACTACAATAATAAAAACACCTGAAATATGATTCATAAGAAATACAATTAGTACGAATTATCTGTAACATAAGAAATAAATAAACCTACAACTATCATATAAATATGATTCATATGAAAAAACAGGATGATAATACTTCATACCCAGGAGTAGACAAGGGGACGGCAGAAAAGCTCGTCTTCAAAAATCTTTTTAAATCTCTTCTTATCCAATTTACCCAGGAGTAGACAGGGCAGTAGCTCCCCGGTCCGGTGTACCAGACCCTCCTCTATAATACTTCATACCCAGGAGTAGACAGGGCAGTAGCTCCCCGGTCCGGTTTACCAGACCCTCCTCTATAATACTTCATACCCAGGAGTAGACAGGACAGTAGCTCCCCGGTCCGGGGTACCAGACCCTCCTCTATAATACTTCATACCCAGGAGTAGACAGGGCAGTAGCTCCCTGGTCCAGGGTACCAGACCCTCCTCTATAATACTTCATACCCAGGAGTAGACAGGGCAGTAGCTCCCTGGTCCAGGGTACCAGAACCTCCTCTCCTGTTAGGTTCGGGAGGATGGACATGACTCTGAGGGGAGATCAGGGTGATAAACCCGGGGAGAGTTCTCACTCTGGTTACCATGACAACTACACTCCCTCTCCTGTTACTAATGATGGTGAGCTTCTACATAGTTTTATTTTTCTTTCTTATGGTTTGAACAATATTTAATAATAGTTGGAATCTATTCTGATATTCCACTTGATGTCTTCTAATTAACTAATTAACCGATAAACAAATTAAA